GTCAATTGATATTTGAAATAACAATAGCAATAGCAATAGCACTTAGTCTTATATATTGTTTCACAGTGCTTTACAGCCCTCTCTAAGCGGTTTACAGAGTCAGCCTATTGCCCCCAACAATCTGGGTCCTCATTTTACTGATCTCGGAAGGATAGAAGGCTGAGTCAACCTTGAGCCGGTCAGGATTGAACTCCTGGCAGTGGAATGCAGAGTCAGCCTGCAATACTACATTCTAACCACTATGCCACCACAGCTCCAGAAAATTTCATGCAGAACATATAAGCTAAGATCGTAGTGAAAATCTGTGAAAACATACTTCTTTGACAAACAGATTTTGTTAACATACGTCATATTCCTTTTCACTAGGGTGATTCTGGAAGTCCACTGGTTTGTCCTGCAAAAGACTCAAGCTACTACACCCTTAATGGAATAATCAGCTGGGGCTTTGGTTGTGGAAGAAAAGGCTACCCAGGAGTCTATACAAATGTTGCTGCTTTTGCTGATTGGATCAGTCAATACATATATGGAAAAAATAGTATGCACTTATGTTCATTTTAACAACAGCTCTTCACAAAACTGTTATGGACTGACTGCTGCCCTTTGCATATATTAGAGGGGGCAGAAAAAAATCTCAGTGTAATTCTGCTCAGTCAATCAAGTAATACTGCTCCAGCCCTTTAAAGTTCAATGCATAGAAGCCAGCAGGGGAATTACAAACACAATTACCAATAAATCATTCCAATCAAATTGTTTTAAGAGATGACAGAGCTGTTTTCTGTTGCGCACTCCCACCCTATTTGCAATGCCCTTGCATCTTATTTAGGAAAGCATTCTTCAGAACCAGGACTGTAAACTTATAATCTGCAGTCCCTGGGAGCAAAGGTACTCCCACCTATGACCTGACATTCAAGAACAGGAATTTCCAAACCCCAAGGGGAAATTTATCAAATTGTCATGGCTCTCATTAGAAAAGAGGGGGGGGCATGTGGGGAAGGATTGCTTCATTTTAGTTAACTGAAGAGAAGGATAATTCATGCTTTCAAAAAGCCTCCAACCTCTTCCAGCTATATTTGCTTTCAAGTTGTAACTTTGCAAGGATTCTTTTGTAATTTACCTGTGACCTGTGTTGACCAATCTGATTTAATGATTTCGACATTTCTCTCCATGTGTGGATCTATATATTGGACTGTGGATCTTTTTAGGGCTCCTTTGTATGTTTATGAAGAGATCCTTAAACGACCAGAAGTACGCTGGATCTTGAGAAGTCTTTTCTCTACCAGCCCCTGCAATTTTATTTTCAGATTATTTTAAATTTTTTTTTGAGTCAGAGCTTATTGTTCATTTCTTCCAGTTGGTCTGGCTGCTTCTGCATTAACAGTGGAGTTGGGCTACGATCCCAAGAGACATGGCAGATGTGTCTCACACTGGTGCTAGCAATGGATTTCTAGGATCTTCATCAAAATAATTGCAATCAGTGTTAACCTTTAATTAAATGTATTCCCAGAAAGCTTAAGCTTTTCATAATCATTATGCCATTCCTTTGTTGTAATTTAATGTGGATCACCTTTCGATTGGCCTACAGTTATTGCTTGCTTCTTTATTTTTGCAGATTCATCAAGTATGGCATGAAGACCTTTGGAGAACACAACTAAATAAAGGCACAATTTCTGAAGGGCATTGCTTAGTTCATGTATCTGAGCCCTAGATGTGTGGGCTACATTGGTAAAAAAGGAGAAAAAAAGAAGATAAAAAGCTGTAACTGTTCTATTCTCATATTGGGATATTCATTAATTAGTACAGTCTTAACTGTGTGCTTATATTCAAGTTTCTGTACGCATTAAGAATTACTCAGATAGTAGTAGTAAAAGCACTGAATGAGTTAGGAGTTCTAACATTCTTTTAAAAAGAGACAGTGCACTTTGTTTTTACAGTAACTTTATAGTATAGATGAATATATATTTTTTCCATATTGTTAACTATCTGCTGAAGGGAGGAGAAAAAGGGACAAAAATACGGATGTAGCAGCACTACTGATTGCGAGGCAAGAAATGCATGTGATTGTATTATTACTTATACAATAGATCAACCATGTCCAGACTCCTGATGAAAATTATACAGTTATATAGGTTTTTCACCATCATACTTACGAATGCTGCAAATAAATGTATGCAGAGGGATTTTTAACTGAGATGTTTGCTATATGTTTTCAAATAATGCTCTAAGTCTAAGGCAACGGTCCTCAACCTTTTGGGGTCTGCGGACCAGCAGCGGCAGTGGCGGGGAAGGGTAGGGGATGATTGCACAACCTAATCCCACGCATGCACAAATAAAGCTCAGCACGCTTGCCTGCCGCTTGCGGGACCCCTTTCCTCTAAGGAAAGACAATGGCATGTTGGTTTTCCACTGATCTCCTTTCCAGATAAAGACTGAGAGTTCTTAGCATTTTTTAAGATCAGCCCAGGTGGGTGAGGTGCTCTCCAACCCTCTATTTCTTTTCTTTCTATTGACCCAAGATTCTAGTGCATCCCCAAGGATCCACCTACCTTTTAAAATGAGAAATAAGCTCAGTTTATTTAATTGGATTTATACCCCAACTTTCTATTCACAGTTTTACATCCAAGAATGTTGCAAGGCACAATGCATTAGTCATTCTTTGTCCAACCAAAGGGCCTCTGAAAGCAGGAACCCCAGAAAATCCTATAGAAAAAGGCAGTGCACCAGCTACCTCCAAGTACTTGAGTTCAGCAGCTCTTCTGTCTAAATGAAGAGAGTCTAAAGCAGGGGTTCTCAACCTTGGCAACTTTAAGACTTGTGGACTTCAACTCCCAGAATTCCTCAGCCAGCTTTGCTGGCTGAGGAATTCTGGGAGTTGAAGCCCACAAGTCTTAAAGTTGCCAAAGTTGAAAACCCCTGGTCTAAAGCAACAAGGGGCAAGCTGAGCTTTTCTTGGTGGCCCAGAGAGTCTTCTCTGATCAATCTTGCTGAAAATATAATTTTTCATCTTATTAAGGAACGGAATAGTAAAACTGGAGGGGAAGGTCTACGCTCAGCCTAATACAATTAAAT